TGCCACCAAAAAAAAAAAGGCGGTTCAGACAGAACGAAAATTAATAAAATATCAATTACACAATTACAATTTCAGGCACAGAATAATGAAACTTAATACACAAAGGGTATAACATACAAATACTTAAAACAAAAGTATAGTGACGCAGCACTACAACATCATCAGCAATTAACTAATAATTAATTAGCTAAAGCACAAAGCTATATTGAGTATGTCTGATAAAACTGAATGCTGCTACTAAGATAAGTCTTAAGGTATTAATGAATGTTTGAGGTATAGTCATTTTTGAAAGATACAAAAATGACTATTATTGGGAAGCAATATCAACATTGCAAGATTGCAATGTTGATAAATAGTAATAGCAACATTGCAAACTTATTTCTGAGTTGAATGAACAAGAACTGATTTTTGGAGAAAAAATTGTCATTAGGACTTAAAAAGTTACATTTTGAGTAATTGTTTATGTTTGATACTGTCATCATCATAAATATCTGATAAACTCCAGAGAATCAAATGACACTTTTATATTGAATCCATTTTTAAAATGTTTAGAATATATTTAGAAAATTCCTAGTCTCACACTATTTTAAGTAACTTTTTTCCTGGTTATAATGCATAAAAATTAATGAAGATAATTATGATGCTAATCTAATTTGTTATTCAATATAGCAGTGTTAATATTAATATTTCTCTGTTAATATTGATGTTTTGCAGTAATATTGTAATATTAATTTTGTACTTTGTAAAACCTAAATTATTACAATAATCAAAAAATATACAATATGTACATTATCTTTACATTAAAATATAATAATTGTATTCATAATGGTGTGAGATTTCAGACAGAATTAGTGCTTTCTTCTGACAATGTTTAATTTCTTAATTTATGCCATTATAAATCTGTATAAATGATAAGAATATAAAGTGCAACAGTTTGCATAGAATATAAAAATCGTAATTATTTACAGACAAACTTTAATTTTGCATCCTCTCTGTTTTGAGAGAATAAAAAAACCTTTATTGTCAAATTATAAACCTTTAGTCAACCTTTTGAAGACTTTTTCCCTGGATTTCAACCAATCAGTGCAAATTCTAATATGCTGGGCATTTATTCCTATGCCTGAAACAAATTTTAATTTTATAGAGTAGGAACCATCATATGAACCTTTATGTTATTTTTACTAACAGAAAATAAAACCTTTAAGACTGCTTTTATTGATAAACATTCTATACATTTCATTTATTCAAAATAAACAAAAGATAAAATCGCTAAAGAGGACTGCCTTATCACCAGGCCACATAAAAGCTGATGATGACACTTCAGATACATAAAAAATTATCCAATTGTAAAACCAAACTATTAAGTGCCCCTCTCTCCATACAATGTAGAATGTTGCTCCATCTTATGCAAAACCTTGAGATTTACATGTCTGCATAACCAATGATTGTTATCTGTAGTACAATCAACTGGTTTTGGACTCTCAACAAACATTTATAATTAACCTCTAATCCACACATTAGTATTCTGGTGTCTCTCCTCAATCTTTATTATTTTCAGAGCATAAAACCTGAAAATGATTACTGAAATTTTTTTTGCTGATAACAGTTGAAATTCAATTTATATTTGAAGAGCTTCATTAACTTAATTAACAAGCATGTGTATATGTATGGTATAATTTAAAAAATTTGGGAATGGATTTAAATAATATCAAAATGGAATATAAAGAAATCTATTTAATATTTTAAAAATAATCATCCAAGCTTCAATATACTTTCTTCAATTCAAGAAACACCTAGAAAAATTGGCTTTTTTCAGGGGTTGCAATTTTTTTTTTATTTGTCTTGTTTCAATTCTATTGACTCAAACCATATTTTTTCCAACTTTGAGTAAACAAGTCTAGATTGGGGGAATAAAGTGGTTACAGAAAACTAGCAGTTCCAACTTTGAAAGGAAAATGGTTTGATAATCAAATAATAAAGCCAGATTATTTAGACTATAACTCAACTAATTATAATGTGAGCTTGATTATCTTTATGAAAATAGTTCAAGTAAGTAGAAATCAATAGAGACAAATCTTTTAGCAATTGCTACAATGGGACAATTTTTCTAATTATCTCCCAAATTGGAGAAAGCATATCAAAGCTCAAAATGATGATTTTGAAAAATGTGTTTAAATATAGAAAACTTATTTAATGTTTTGATTTTTGACCAATTACGTTCCTGGAACTCTTGAACAAATTTTCTATATCTGGTTGAATTCTATTAAATACTTTCTAATCTTTAATCCTAAACCATCACCAATATTCCAAATGATAATCCACTGGAACAAACTACAGGGTGGACCAAAAGTCTCTTAATATTTGAAAAGCCCACTGCTTCTGCATGGGTGCTGGTATCGGGGCAGGGAAGGTACCAGACACAAGAGCAGCCAACAGGGATTTAGTGTCAATGTGCACTTTGTGTTTGCGAGTACTATCGAAACAACGATTCTGCAACCGAAGCAAGACAGAAATTTTGTTCTCATTACAATATACGGAATGTAAACCAAGCTCCAACAATTCAAACAATGAAGAATTGGGTATGGAAGTTCGAGACAATGGGTTCAACATTAACACAGCCACAATTCGGCCAACCCAGGATATCAAGAGAGCCAGAAAACATAGAGCGTGTACGAGTGTGTTTGAGAGCAACCTTGCCTGTCCACTCGAAAGCGGTCTAGTGTCTTAAATGTGCCCAGAACATCTCTAAATCGCATTCTACTCAAGGACCTACATTTACATCTGTACAAAATTCAATTTGTACAGGAATTGAAGCCAAAAACTGATATCCAAAAGAGGTGACATTAACTGGCCACCCTGCAGCCTGGATTTGTCCCCAATGGACTTTTTCCTTTGGGAATATCTTAAAAGTAAAGTTTACATCAGCAACCCAGAGTCTATTGAAGAATTAAAAGAAAACATATGCAATGAAATGCAAAACATTTCACCAACCACTTGTCAGGCAGTCATGGAAAATTTCTGGTCCCGGTTACAAGAGTGTAAAAATAAATAAGGCTCATACTTATGTGATGTTATATTCAAAAAATAAAACCCTAATTTGTATACTTTAAAATACAATAAACAGTTGTTGATTAACATAGCATGTTTATTTTTTATGATCATTTGAAATGTTAAAGGACTTTTGGTCCACCCTGTAAATAATGAATCTCAGGGAAATAGAGTTACAGTATATTTAAAAACAATGTTAAGAATTTTGTTTCATCGTAGCATTGTTCAATTGATGTTTGGTTTAACATCTGTTGATTATTTTCATGTTTTATGTTATTCTTTTCTTGTTTGTAGACACTAGGAGAAAAGTCAACTGGCCACAGTGTCTTTATTTACTTTATTTTATAAAGAAACAGTTTTATCTGTATGAAATATAAACATTTTATGAATTTATTCTAAAAATTGATATTAAATATTAGTAACTGAATTGAAACATATAAATAATTTCAAAGGTATGCTTACAGAGTTTGCTAAATAAATATTTGTTTCAAATAATAATGATAAAGTGGTTTGTAATGTTCTGTATTGTACTTCCTTCTTAACAACAATTTTTAATATAACTTCAACAGGCTCTAGCTTTTATTTCATCTTGTACATTTATAAGTCTCAAGCAAGAATTTACTTATTTTATTATTTAATTATCTGATTCTAATAAACATGCCATATGTTTTCCATATTTTCAAATTATCCAGTTTATGACTAGTTTGAATGTTAAATAACAGAAACCATTAGTAACCAAGCACTTACTATTTTCTTTGACAAGTAAGTATTCTTGGCCTTTTTAAAGGCAATTATTTTTTTAAAAAATGTTTAATAATCACAGAAAACCCAAAGATGACCTTTTAAAAAATACTGAAAGTACACAATAAATTAAAAAGTATCATTATTTGTCAAGTAGTTTTTTTTATTGTTTCTTCTGCTTTTCACAAAAATGTGGAATAGTCTGCCATACAAAGTTTGATAAAACATATCTAGACTGGATTTGCAAGTAAGGAATTGGATGATACAACATGAAGTCATTTTGTACAGAATGATCTCAAAACCTAACACCTGTTATAAGCCACAAATTATTTCTCACCTGTTCTAATGATTCTTTCACAGTAGCAGTTTGTTTTTGCATCAGTGCAGATGCTCATTGCATAACAAGTTGCATAGTAATGTCTGGAAAAAATTGAGCTAACAAATTTGCATCCGATTTTGTCAAAATCTTTATGGATATGACCTAAAACTAAGGACTATTCTTTATGGTAGTGTATCCGAAAAGCTCCCAAATCCAAAAAAGAACAGCAGATCTGCAGCAAGGTCAAGACAGTACTGACTGTTTTTTTCAATCCTAAGGAGGTTTTACATTATGAATATGCCCTCTCAGACCAGACAATAACCAAGGAGTCTTACTGTCAAATTTTGAGGCATTTGCAAGATGGTTTGTTGGAAAAGGCTGGCATTACATGCAAGTGCTAAGTAGAAAATCCACTAAGACAATGCTCCCAAACACTGTACCTTATGCAGTAGTTTCTCACTAAACACAACATTACACGGGTACAGCATTACCCCCTATTTGCCAGATCACATGTGACTTTTCCTCTTTCCAAAAATCAAAAGGAAAAAGATTTTGAGATGTTTGGGAGATTTAAATGAGTGCAACAAAGCAACATCAGGCTATGTGTGGCTTTGTAAGGGAATTACTTTGAAGGTAAGTTTCAAATCTATAAATATTTTACTTTTTATAATATGAATCCAGTCTGGATACTTTTGATCAGACCTCATAAATTTAAACTTCAATTATCATTTTTCTATCAAGCAAGTTGTGTTCTTTAAAATTCACCAAAGCTGATATTTTAAGTGATATTTCTATTTTGAATTTTTATATTTTGTAAATTTTTATGTCTGATGTTAATCTTACAGGATGAGAAGTGTTTGCTGAAAATATTTTTTGTTTTAATTAATTCTAGGCACATTCCACATCCAATTGGACATGCACATTTATCAGCATTCCTTACAGATAAAGGTAGGAAAATAATTTAAATAAATTATGCTAAAAATATTTTAAAAAACTGTAATTGAACATATATAAAATGTTTATAGATTATAACTTTTCTCATCGGATTGAAATGTTCTCATTTGGCGACCCCATAAGTGGTATTTTTGATCCTTTAGAAGGAGATGAGAAAATAACCGATAAAAGTAATTTTTAATATTTTGATTAAAACATGATTTATCTAAAACATATTAAAAATATAATGCTCAAAAATTCACAGATTTCCAACTATATCAGTATTACTTGAAAATAGTTCCAACAGAGGTTTATTCTGGAAATCATGAAGTTAAAACATATCAATACTCGGTTACCGAACAAGTGAGTAGATTTAAAAAAAAAATATTTACATATTGTTTCTTATGTGAAATATATCTTGTAAATAAAACTTTTGTGAAGGAACGTGAAATCAATCATGATTCTGGAAGTCACGGAATTCCTGGTATTTACTTCAAGTATGACATGTCGTCAGTTAAAGTAAAAGTAATAAAACATCGCTCATCCTTTTGGCATTTTTTAGTGAGATTATGTGGAATTGTTGGTGGCATTTATGCTACTTCAGGTAAATTTTTCTTACATTCCTTTTACAAATAACAGAGAATATTTGTTAAAACAATTTTTCTTTGTAGGTATAGTAAACAACATGGTGAGTTTTATAGTAAGTATATGCAGTAGCAAACCTGCCAAAGAACCCACTTACTCTAAACTTGTCAAATTAGAGAATCTCGAAACGCATAACTTAAACAACAGTCTGAACAAACTCATGACAGAACAACCTCAAAACAATGTGTCGTTAATTGAGAACCCATTTTATAACAACGTTAGGCTGTTTTCTGATAATAATTCTTAGCATTAGTAAGTAAAGTACAGATTTTTAAAATAAGCCCATTCTTCAAATGATGAAGATAACATGTTGCCAAAATGTACAGTTGTTATCCTACGCAATTATATATTAATGGTGATGCATTTAGGATGTATTTCACAAAATAAAAATAAAATTTTTAAGAATTTCTGTTTAAATTTTCATTGCAGCTCGTAATTTTGCCGAACGACTCCTTGGATTTAGTTCTATTTCTTCTTCGGTAGGAGTTATCACCTTTTTGTTGATGGGACACCACCTTTTGGACATTATATCTTTCATGTTTTCTTCAGAATGCCACAAACTTGCATTTTTATATTTTTGACTCAATGAAGAACTGACGGGTTCATTAATATCGATATCCATCAAGTGACGTTTAATGATACGATCTTCTAGCGAATGAAATGTCAATGTGACAACTCTGCCACCACGTTTTAAATATTGATACGCCATTTCCATTCCATAATTAAGTTCATTAAGCTCATTATTAACAAAAATGCGCAGGGCCTGAAATACTTTAGTAGCAGAATGAGCTTTTCTTTCCAACTTATCTAGTCTAGGCTCTCTGCAAAATAAATTAATTGTAATAAGCAATGAGAATAATAATAATGATTGTAAACAATAGAAAAACTTACGTAACAACAACAGAAACAATATCTGCTAGTTCCTGTGTTGTCCTAATTTTTTTCATCATAAAACGAGCATCGATAAGCACCTGAGCAATTTTTTTGGCATATCTCTCTTCTCCATATATTTTAAAGATTTTAACTAAGCTTGGAAAATCTAAATTATTAACTACATCTGAAGCTGTAGGTTGATTTGGAAATCTGAAACAATATGTAAATTTATTTTATTTATTTAGTTTATGGTTCTTAAAGTTATATCTTTAAAATTTTACCTTTCTCCATCCATTCTCATGTCTAATGGTCCATTTGCACTTAAAGCAAAACCTCTTTGGGGATTGCTAAACTGCATTAAAGAACAACCCACATCAAATAATATTCCATCTATGCTTTCTTTTTCAATGCCTTCTTTACATAAAAGGCCAGGAAGCTCACTAAATCGACCCAAAAGAGGAACCAGATTCCTAGTTTGAAAATAAATTTTTAGTATATGATAAAATAATCAAATGCAAAGTTATTCTAAATGATGATTATATGTACTGTACAGTACATTATAACTTACAAACACATTATTGGATATATTTTGTTAAACTGAATATAGGTATTGGAATATAGTGCAGTTGTAAAGATGATATTTTATCATGCTGAAAAAAGCACTGCTATGCTGCATCTAATGCATAAAATTTTGTAAATTTATAATAATAAATAAAAAGCAATATTAAAGTTTGAAATACATACATCTCTCTGCAAACAAATCTTAATAACTTCTATTATATTTTAGGAGGGAGAGGATAAACATGCAGCAATAGATGACACAAAATACATATAATGTTTCATGTATGAAGTGTACAGTTAAATCAATTATGTAATTTTATTCATAACTTCCTAAGCTATTTAATCAATTATTATTGAATTTAATAATTGTGTACAATTCTTTACAATTTCTGTGTGTACAATTGTTTACAAGATATTGGATTAACCTGGTTTCCCTCATCCTATAGTTACATCATTGGTACAAAGTAGTCATGTAGTTTTGTTTATAGCCCTGTACAAATGATGGTAAATGAATAAATATTATTATTGACTAATTACTATCAAGTTTGATATTAAATCTATAATGTTTTGTTTCCAACTGAAATCATCAAGTCTACTAAAGTTAGTTTCTGTGCAACTAGAACTTACTAGTGATCAATCAATGTTTTGGCTCATTTCACACTTCACATTATGCCAATTTACAAAGAAGTTAAACATGCTGAACTACTTAAACCATTTTTTAATAGGAAATGATCTGTGACATACATTACAATAAAGAATTTTTTCATCTTTTAAATGTTTAGGAACCAAACTCCTGTTCATACTTTCTTAGCAATTCAGCATAGTTTTTGCTGTTTTACTTACAGCCCGATAGTTCAATTAATGTTGATAACTCACTTAAAAATTAAAATTTGATTTTTTGTACAAAACAATGCTAAAATAATTTCTATAGTTATGTTGCAAAAGAAAAAGAGTTGCAAAAAACTGTCATTAAGGGTTAAAAAAATGCAGGAAAATTAAATAAATAGCAATAAATAAATAATTAATAATTTAAATCAGTCATGAGCAACTTGCAGCCTGGGAGGCCCTAATACGAGATCCCCGGGGTTTTGGCAACGTAATTNTTTGAAATTTTTTTTGTCTCAAGGAAAATTTTCTACATGTAAACAATTGCTTTAATTTTGAATTTATTACATGATTATAAATAATTTATAAATGTTGAGAATGAAATATTCAAAATATAATTTTATTGATGTAAATATTCATTAATAGGGAGATACCTGCTACTGGAGATTTTGATGCCTGTCGTTTGTATGGCACATTAATAGTAAACAAAGTTGCTGGTAATTTTCATATTACGGCAGGAAAGTAAGTAAAATTTACAATATTTAAATATATACACAATGCATAAGGTTTAATTTTACATTATTTTATAATTTTATGAGTGTAATAAGTTATTGTTGTACTGTACCATCAAGTTGATATGTATCAACTTGTAGCAACCCAGTAGATAGCAGTTCTAAATGCTATTTGGTCATTTCCAGTTAGAGAGGCTTATGCCAATTGCCACTATTAGAATGGTACTTATTACACTATAAAATTAAAGAAATAATTTTCCAACTTTATAAGGATATTTTATCTGATTCTAAACAAACTGAATTTTAAAAATGTACAGATTGTGTACAGATAGAATTAAACATTTATTAATTAGCTAGAAAATTTGTCAATAGATTTTGCTTTTGTGGTGTTCATTACAATACAGGTAATAGTATACAGTATTTAGATATAAAGGGCCCAAGCATATTCAAAGAAATGTATTTGCATTAAAAATGTTGAAAGAACAGATGAAATATTTTGCTAAAATTAGCATTACGTATAAAGATTTTGATTAGTGTCAATATTTTCAAAAAAGTGTATTTATGAGAAATTAACTATAATTTTTGGCATTAGGCTTTCACTAGTAATTATACTATGCAAAGTACAAATTTTAATTTACATTGTAGTGTCCAAGGGGTATCGAAAATACTCCAGATGATCAGTTGGATAAAAAAAAAGTGCGTGAGGACTTTACATGAACAACAACTTGGGTTTCAATTTTTGAAAAAAGGTTTTAATGATTGACAATATAACTAAACATTCACTAACTACCACTCGGTACAAGTAGCAACACTCGCAACAATTAGTATCTTCTACCCTTGTGGATATAATCGAAAGAAAAAAATTTTACAATTATTTTTACAGATGCAGGTCCCTCGTTGAATTCCCTTAGTACGAGAACGAAAGTTCCACCTTGTATTCCAGAGTCCACTCACAATAAATTCCTCCACGTGGCTCCTCAATTAGCTCAGAGAAGACGATTCTCTGTCCCTTTGTCCAAAACCAAATCAAGTCCTTGCCTTCTTCCATTTCACTCTGCACTCCAACGCACCTCTGCACATCTGACCCAAATCCCAGTTAGGAAAAAAGGTAGTTCTTTCACACGTGGGACGACAATTTATACGTTCCGCCATCATTCTACATCACCCTCTTCACGTGATCACTGCACAGCCAATTGTTACATGGCGGCAGTGCCACCAAAAAAAAAGGCGGTTCAGACAGAACGAAAATTAATAAAATATCAATTACACAATTACAATTTCAGGCACAGAATAATGAAACTTAATACACAAAGGGTATAACATACAAATACTTAAAACAAAAGTATAGTGACGCAGCACTACAACATCATCAGCAATTAACTAATAATTAATTAGCTAAAGCACAAAGCTATATTGAGTATGTCTGATAAAACTGAATGCTGCTACTAAGATAAGTCTTAAGGTATTAATGAATGTTTGAGGTATAGTCATTTTTGAAAGATACAAAAATGACTATTATTGGGAAGCAATATCAACATTGCAAGATTGCAATGTTGATAAATAGTAATAGCAACATTGCAAACTTATTTCTGAGTTGAATGAACAAGAACTGATTTTTGGAGAAAAAATTGTCATTAGGACTTAAAAAGTTACATTTTGAGTAATTGTTTATGTTTGATACTGTCATCATCATAAATATCTGATAAACTCCAGAGAATCAAATGACACTTTTATATTGAATCCATTTTTAAAATGTTTAGAATATATTTAGAAAATTCCTAGTCTCACACTATTTTAAGTAACTTTTTTCCTGGTTATAATGCATAAAAATTAATGAAGATAATTATGATGCTAATCTACTTTGTTATTCAATATAGCAGTGTTAATATTAATATTTCTCTGTTAATATTGATGTTTTGCAGTAATATTGTAATATTAATTTTGTACTTTGTAAAACCTAAATTACAATAATCAAAAAATATACAATATGTACGTTATCTTTACATTAAAATATAATAATTGTATTCATAATGGTGTGAGATTTCAGACAGAATTAGTGCTTTCTTCTGACAATGTTTAATTTCTTAATTTATGCCATTATAAATCTGTATAAATGATAAGAATATAAAGTGCAACAGTTTGCATAGAATATAAAATTTGTAATTATTTACAGACAAACTTTAATTTTGCATCCTCTCTGTTTTGAGAGAATAAAAAAACCTTTATTGTCAAATTATAAACCTTTAGTCAACCTTTTGAAGACTTTTTCCCTGGATTTCAACCAATCAGTGCAAATTCTAATATGCTGGGCATTTATTCCTATGCCTGAAACAAATTTTAATTTTATAGAGTAGGAACCATCATATGAACCTTTATGTTATTTTTACTAACAGAAAATAAAACCTTTAAGACTGCTTTTATTGATAAACATTCTATACATTTCATTTATTCAAAATAAACAAAAGATAAAATCGCTAAAGAGGACTGCCTTACCACCAGGCCACATAAAAGCTGATGATGACACTTCAGATACATAAAAAATTATCCAATTGTAAAACCAAACTATTAAGTGCCCCTCTCTCCATACAATGTAGAATGTTGCTCCATCTTATGCAAAACCTTGAGATTTACATGTCTGCATAACCAATGANCCAAATCCAAAAAAGAACAGCAGATCTGCAGCAAGGTCAAGACAGTACTGACTGTTTTTTTCAATCCTGAGGAGGTTTTACATTATGAATATGCCCTCTCAGACCAGACAATAACCAAGGAGTCTTACTGTCAAATTTTGAGGCATTTGCAAGATGGTAGTGCCCCTCTCTCCATACAATGTAGAATGTTGCTCCATCTTATGCAAAACCTTGAGATTTACATGTCTGCATAACCAATGACTGTTATCTGTAGTACAATCAACTGGTTTTGGACTCTCAACAAACATTTATAATTAACCTCTAATCCACACATTAGTATTCTGGTGTCTTTCCTCAATCTTTATTATTTTTCAGAGCATAAAACCTGAAAATGATTACTGAAATTTTTTTTGCTGATAACAGTTGAAATTCAATTTATATTTGAAGAGCTTCATTAACTTAATTAACAAGCATGTGTATATGTATGGTATAATTTAAAAAATTTGGGAATGGATTTAAATAATATCAAAATGGAATATAAAGAAATCTATTTAATATTTTAAAAATAATCATCCAAGCTTCAATATACTTTCTTCAATTCAAGAAACACCTAGAAAAATTGGCTTTTTTCAGGGGTTGCAATTTTTTTTTTATTTGTCTTGTTTCAATTCTATTGACTCAAACCATATTTTTTCCAACTTTGAGTAAACAAGTCTAGATTGGGGGAATAAAGTGGTTACAGAAAACTAGCAGTTCCAACTTTGAAAGGAAAATGGTTTGATAATCAAATAATAAAGCCAGATTATTTAGACTATAACTCAACTAATTATAATGTGAGCTTGATTATCTTTATGAAAATAGTTCAAGTAAGTAGAAATCAATAGAGACAAATCTTTTAGCAATTGCTACAATGGGACAATTTTTCTAATTATCTCCCAAATTGGAGAAAGCATATCAAAGCTCAAAATGATGATTTTGAAAAATGTGTTTAAATATAGAAAACTTATTTAATGTTTTGATTTTTGACCAATTCCATTCCTGGAACTCTTGAACAAATTTTCTATATCTGGTTGAATTCTATTAAATACTTTCTAATCTTTAATCCTAAACCATCACCAATATTCCAAATGATAATCCACTGGAACAAACTACAGGGTGGACCAAAAGTCTCTTAATATTTGAAAAGCCCACTGCTTCTGCATGGGTGCTGGTATCGGGGCAGGGAAGGTACCAGACACAAGAGCAGCCAACAGGGATTTAGTGTCAATGTGCACTTTGTGTTTGCGAGTACTATCGAAACAACGATTCTGCAACCGAAGCAAGACAGAAATTTTGTTCTCATTACAATATACGGAATGTAAACCAAGCTCCAACAATTCAAACAATGAAGAATTGGGTATGGAAGTTCGAGACAATGGGTTCAACATTAACACAGCCACAATTCGGCCAACCCAGGATATCAAGAGAGCCAGAAAACATAGAGCGTGTACGAGTGTGTTTGAGAGCAACCTTGCCTGTCCACTCGAAAGCGGTCTAGTGTCTTAAATGTGCCCAGAACATCTCTAAATCGCATTCTACTCAAGGACCTACATTTACATCTGTACAAAATTCAATTTGTACAGGAATTGAAGCCAAAAACTGATATCCAAAAGAGGTGACATTAACTGGCCACCCTGCAGCCTGGATTTGTCCCCAATGGACTTTTTCCTTTGGGAATATCTTAAAAGTAAAGTTTACATCAGCAACCCAGAGTCTATTGAAGAATTAAAAGAAAACATATGCAATGAAATGCAAAACATTTCACCAACCACTTGTCAGGCAGTCATGGAAAATTTCTGGTCCCGGTTACAAGAGTGTAAAAATAAATAAGGCTCATACTTATGTGATGTTATATTCAAAAAATAAAACCCTAATTTGTATACTTTAAAATACAATAAACAGTTGTTGATTAACATAGCATGTTTATTTTTTATGATCATTTGAAATGTTAAAGGACTTTTGGTCCACCCTGTAAATAATGAATCTCAGGGAAATAGAGTTACAGTATATTTAAAAACAATGTTAAGAATTTTGTTTCATCGTAGCATTGTTCAATTGATGTTTGGTTTAACATCTGTTGATTATTTTCATGTTTTATGTTATTCTTTTCTTGTTTGTAGACACTAGGAGAAAAGTCAACTGGCCACAGTGTCTTTATTTACTTTATTTTATAAAGAAACAGTTTTATCTGTATGAAATATAAACATTTTATGAATTTATTCTAAAAATTGATATTAAATATTAGTAACTGAATTGAAACATATAAATAATTTCAAAGGTATGCTTACAGAGTTTGCTAAATAAATATTTGTTTCAAATAATAATGATAAAGTGGTTTGTAATGTTCTGTATTGTACTTCCTTCTTAAAACAATTTTTAATATAACTTCAACAGGCTCTAGCTTTTATTTCATCTTGTACATTTATAAGTCTCATGCAAGAATTTACTTATTTTATTATTTAATTATCTGATTCTAATAAACATGCCATATGTTTTCCATATTTTCAAATTATCCAGTTTATGACTAGTTTGAATGTTAAATAACAGAAACCATTAGTAACCAAGCACTTACTATTTTCTTTGACAAGTATTCTTGGCCTTTTTAAAGGCAATTATTTTTTTAAAAAATGTTTAATAATCACAGAAAACCCAAAGATGACCTTTTAAAAAATACTGAAAGTACACAATAAATTAAAAAGTATCATTATTTGTCAAGTAGTTTTTTTTATTGTTTCTTCTGCTTTTCACAAAAATGTGGAATAGTCTGCCATACAAAGTTTGATAAAACATATCTAGACTGGATTTGCAAGTAAGGAATTGGATGATACAACATGAAGTCATTTTGTACAGAATGATCTCAAAACTTAACACCTATTATAAGCCACAAATTATTTCTCACCTGTTCTAATGATTCTTTCACAGTAGCAGTTTGTTTTTGCATCAGTGCAGATGCTCATTGCATAACAAGTTGCATAACAAGTCAGCAAGGTCAAGACAGTACTGACTGTTTTTTTCAATCCTAAGGAGGTTTTACATTATGAATATGCCCTCTCAGACCAGACAATAACCAAGGAGTCTTACTGTCAAATTTTGAGGCATTTGCAAGATGGTTTGTTGGAAAAGGCTGGCATTACATGCAAGTGCTAAGTAGAAAATCCACTAAGACAATGCTCCCAAACACTGTACCTTATGCAGTAGTTTCTCACTAAACACAACATTACACGGGTACAGCATTACCCCCTATTTGCCAGATCACATGTGACTTTTCCTCTTTCCAAAAATCAAAAGGAAAAAGATTTTGAGATGTTTGGGAGATTTAAATGAGTGCAACAAAGCAACATCAGGCTATGTGTGGCTTTGTAAGGGAATTACTTTGAAGGTAAGTTTCAAATCTATAAATATTTTACTTTTTATAATATGAATCCAGTCTGGATACTTTTGATCAGACCTCATAAATTTAAACTTCAATTATCATTTTTCTATCAAGCAAGTTGTGTTCTTTAAAATTCACCAAAGCTGATATTTTAAGTGATATTTCTATTTTGAATTTTTATATTTTGTAAATTTTTATTATGTCTGATGTTAATCTTACAGGATGAGAAGTGTTTGCTGAAAATATTTTTTGTTTTAATTAATTCTAGGCACATTCCACATCCAATTGGACATGCACATTTATCAGCATTCCTTACAGATAAAGGTAGAAAAATAATTTAAATAAATTATGCTAAAAATATTTTAAAAAACTGTAATTGAACATATATAAAATGTTTATAGATTATAACTTTTCTCATCGGATTGAAATGTTCTCATTTGGCGACCCCATAAGTGGTATTTTTGATCCTTTAGAAGGAGATGAGAAAATAACCGATAAAAGTAATTTTTAATATTTTGATTAAAACATGATTTATCTAAAACATATTAAAAATATAATGCTCAAAAATTCACAGATTTCCAACTATATCAGTATTACTTGAAAATAGTTCCAACAGAGGTTTATTCTGGAAATCATGAAGTTAAAACATATCAATACTCGGTTACCGAACAAGTGAGTAGATTTTTTAAAAAAATATTTACATATTGTTTCTTATGTGAAATATATCTTGTAAATAAAACTTTTGTGAAGGAACGTGAAATCAATCATGATTCTGGAAGTCACGGAATTCCTGGTATTTACTTCAAGTATGACATGTCGTCAGTTAAAGTAAAAGTAATAAAACATCGCTCATCCTTTTGGCATTTTTTAGTGAGATTATGTGGAATTGTTGGTGGCATTTATGCTACTTCAGGTAAGTTTTTCTTACATTCCTTTTACAAATAACAGAGAATATTTGTTAAAACAATTTTTCTTTGTAGGTATAGTAAACAACATGGTGAGTTTTATAGTAAGTATATGCAGTAGCAAACCTGCCAAAGAACCCACTTACTCTAAACTTGTCAAATTAGAGAATCTCGAAACGCATAACTTAAACAACAGTCTGAACAAACTCATGACAGAACAACCTCAAAACAATGTGTCGTTAATTGAGAACCCATTTTATAACAACGTTAGGCTGTTTTCTGATAATAATTCTTAGCATTAGTAAGTAAAGTACAGATTTTTAAAATAAGCCCATTCTTCAAATGATGAAGATAACATGATGCCAAAATGTACAGTTGTTATCCTACGCAATTATATATTAATGGTGATGCATTTAGGATGTATTTCACAAAATAAAAATAAAATTTTTAAGAATTTCTGTTTAAATTTTCATTGCAGCTCGTAATTTTGCCGAACGACTCCTTGGATTTAGTTCTATTTCTTCTTCGGTAGGAGTTATCACCTTTTTGTTGATGGGACACCACCTTTTGGACATTATATCTTTCATGTTTTCTTCAGAATGCCACAAACTTGCATTTTTATATTTTTGACTCAATGAAGAACTGACGGGTTCATTAATATCGATATCCATCAAGTGACGTTTAATGATACGATCTTCTAGCGAATGAAATGTCAATGTGACAACTCTGCCACCACGTTTTAAATATTGATACGCCATTTCCATTCCATAATTAAGTTCATTAAGCTCATTATTAACAAAAATGCGCAGGGCCTGAAATACTTTAGTAGCAGAATGAGCTTTTCTTTCCAACTTATCTAGTCTAGGCTCTCTGCAAAATAAATTAATTGTAATAAGCAATGAGAATAATAATAATGATTGTAAACAATAGAAAAACTTACGTAACAACAACAGAAACAATATCTGCTAGTTCCTGTGTTGTCCTAATTTTTTTCATCATAAAACGAGCATCGATAAGCACCTGAGCAATTTTTTTGGCATATCTCTCTTCTCCATATATTTTAAATATTTTAACTAAGCTTGGAAAATCTAAATTATTAACTACATCTGAAGCTGTAGGTTGATTTGGAAATCTGAAACAATATGTAAATTTATTTTATTTATTTAGTTTATGGTTCTTAAAGTTATATCTTTAAAATTTTACCTTTCTCCATCCATTCTCATGTCTAATGGTCCATTTGCACTTAAAGCAAAACCTCTTTGGGGATTGCTAAACTGCATTGAAGAACAACCCACATCAAATAATATTCCATCTATGCTTTCTTTTTCAATGCCTTCTTTACATAAAAGGCCAGGAAGCTCACTAAATCGACCCAAAAGAGGAACCAGATTCCTAGTTTGAAAATAAATTTTTAGTATATGATAAAATAATCAAATGCAAAGTTATTCTAAATGATGATTATATGTACTGTACAGTACATTATAACTTACAAACACATTATTGGATATATTTTGTTAAACTGAATATAGGTATTGGAATATAGTGCAGTTGTAAAGATGATATTTTATCATGCTGAAAAAAGCACTGCTATGCTGCATCTAATGCATAAAATTTTGTAAATTTATAATAATAAATAAAAAGCAATATTAAAGTTTGAAATACATACATCTCTCTGCAAACAAATCTTAATAACTTCTATTATATTTTAGGAGGGAGAGGATAAACATGCAGCAATAGATGACACAAAATACATATAATGTTTCATGTATGAAGTGTACAGTTAAATCAATTATGTAATTTTATTCATAACTTCCTAAGCTATTTAATCAATTATTATTGAATTTAATAATTGTGTACAATTCTTTACAATTTCTGTGTGTACAATTGTTTACAAGATATTGGATTAACCTGGTTTCCCTCATCCTATAGTTACATCATTGGTACAAAGTAGTCATGTAGTTTTGTTTATAGCCCTGTACAAATGATGATAAATGAATAAATATTATTATTGACTAATTACTATCAAGTTTGATATTAAATCTATAATGTTTTGTTTCCAACTGAAATCATCAAGTCTACTAAAGTTAGTTTCTGTGCAACTAGAACTTACTAGTGATCAATCAATGTTTTGGCTCATTTCACACTTCACATTATGCCAATTTACAAAGAAGTTAAACATGCTGAACTACTTAAACCATTTTTTAATAGGAAATGATCTGTGACATACATTACAATAAAGAATTTTTTCATCTTTTAAATGTTTAGGAACCAAACTCCTGTTCATACTTTCTTAGCAATTCAGCATAGTTTTTGCTGTTTTACTTACAGCCCGATAGTTCAATTAATGTTGATAACTCACTTAAAAATTAAAATTTGATTTTTTGTACAAAACAATGCTAAAATAATTTCTATAGTTATGTTGCAAAAGAAAAAGAGTTGCAAAAAACTGTCATTAAGGGTTAAAAAAATGCAGGAAAATTAAATAAATAGCAATAAATAAATAATTATGTTTTAGTTTTTATAATTATTTTTAATAAATTAAACTTAAAGGCCAGAGTTTTAATAATTATTTTTAAATTGGTTTTGGTACAGTATAAACTGTTTTTAAAAACATTTTTATTTTAAAGTTGTTTTGAAATTTTCAAATTGTAAATCAAGTTAATTTTTAAATTTATGATATTTCTGTGTGGTGGTGACAGAACATTTTGCTTTTAATATATGTATATACAGTAGGTGATCGGCTAACGAACATAATCCGTTCCAAGACTTTGTTTGCTATCTGAATTGTTCATTAACCGATTATCGATTTAACATACATTTGTATGGGAATTTGATTAATTCGTTCTGGAGATCCCAAAAAATAAAAAAATATATACTTTCTTACTACATTCATTTATATGTAATAATAAAAATACATATATATGCAGTCTTGCATTTTTATTAGTTATATTTTTTTGTTTGTGGGGTTAAAGAATCTGTCTAATGTCAATTGCTTTTCTCTCTTCTTCAGGATTTTCAGAAGTAGTTACAGTAATAGCATTGTAATTGTAGAGATCCCCAAACCTATTAATCTCAACCTGGTTTGTATGCCATTCTAAGACCGTTGATCTGACATCCCCCACTTCAAAAGATCTTTAATTAATAGCAGATATTGGCATTAATCCTCTTTTTCATAATAAAACATATCTCGCCGAGTTTCTTGGTGTTTTTCATGCAAGAGTTCTTGGTGTTCTTCTGTCGTCAGATCCGTTTCAGGTTCTATCATGAGCTCTTTAATGTTCTTTATTTCTCAGAAGTGATTTTTGTTACTCCTTTAGCTGCTTGAGTCTTCTTGATTATACTGTATCTTTCTTAGATAAGATTCAACTGCGCCCTACTGTACATTTGTTCAAGCTATACTGTCCAGGAACATCAGACATCTCGCAAATACTATAAAAGAATTGTTTCTGTCTGAAAAATAAAAGGCTAGAATTACAAGGGAGAGTTTCAAAGTTCGGAGGAATACTATCTGATCAATATATTCTGAGTTGAGCGTCGATGTCGATGTCTCCAATGCTCCAAAAAGTTTTGAATTGTTGCCTGAAGACAAGGGGAAATCAATCAGTATTTGCTATTTTTGTCGCTTCTTTTTTTATGTTTGTTCAGTGAAGTGTTCGTTGTCCAATCATAAAAATCTTTCGCGAAAGTGTTCGTTATCCAATTTGTTCGTTAACAGATCTGTTCATTAAATTATTAACCGATCACCCACTGTACTGTATATCTAAATCTGTATCCTATATATAACCAAAGGTTATTCAAAAATCAAACTTAAAAAATAGTTGTTATGGACGCAAACAAATAGCCATCTCTTCAACTCCAGGTCTGAGTCAAAAGTGAAGTCTTTTTGTGTCTCCTATGTCTACACAAAGACCTTCCTTCCCCTTTGTTAACCCTTTCCATAGAAGTTAACAGATAGTCCTTTTAAGTAACAAATTGTAGACCTCACCTGCAGCACTGTGACATACGTACATGCTGCTTCAATGTAAAGTGTTGGTTTTGGTGGGGATAGAACATTTTGCTTTTAATATATATACAGATTGTTGGTTAAACTAAACTCAATATAGCAGTATTTACTGCATGTGTTCCATATGAGAAAGTTTGATATTATATTCTCAGGAAATTCTAGCCCTTATCAGTGTAATAATGTTTAATTAAATATAACACCTACAATAATCTTAATTCAATTAATTCAAAGAATTTTGAGAGTTTGAAAAATCAAATTTCCATGATAATACAAAAATACATTCATTTGTAGGATTTCAAAAGAATGAAAATTAGATAATTCAAATTTAAAACATACATACCTACATACACTTGAATTTTGTGCACTCATCTGAAATTGGATGGCACAGTCATATTTGTCACATGAACAGACTATAGATCATATGAAAAAAAGCACTTTCAATCCTGCAAACAAGCTATAATGTTTATAAATCAATTATTTACTCCCAGAAATTGTCAGATCTGCAAAATGTGCAGTAAAAATCAGAAATGCATGTTTTACATGCTCTTTAAAAACACACACACAATGTACAGTACATTATAGGACAACCTCTATTTGAACCTGAATCTCCTATCCACATAAACCTGAATTGTGTTTTATATTGAGGTCTCAACCAGTATGGTGGAGTCAGTAAACAAAAACTCCAACTACAGAAAATTTGCAATGTGCAACTCTGACCTTACCCTTTTTTAAAATTCACACTACAATTCCTTTTATAAGAAAGTTACCACTGAGTATCCATAATACTTTTATGTAAAACTTCTCTATGAAAAGTCATATTGAAATTGATGGTGAAATCAAGAAATGAATATAATAAATTTACCTTGGAAAACTTTTGAGTACATAAAGAAACAAATTACACCTTAATAGCCAAAAGAATTCCACTTTTATTAGTTAATTATGAAAAATTGATTTAAATTTAATTACTTTCAAGAAAAATTTAAATACAATAAGACATAATAAATTGGTCCATAAAATAGTTTATCCTGCTCTGGCTACAACGGGAATAGTTAATTTCCTACTGACAGTTGACAAAACTGAAGTATACAACAAAATTTTAAAATATCAAATTTGGAAAAAAATCAATCATCTTGAACCAATGGGTGCAATTGACCCTAAGACCAGTAAATAATAAGCTGAAACAATTCTATTAATTACATTTTGCAATTTTCTCTTCCTCTTTTAGTTTGTTCCTGTTAGATTTTAATCTTGGTTTTATTTTCATTGTTTTTTTATTGAGTATTTTAAGACTAAATTATATTATTGAAGCTATAATAATCATAAATAACTCAAAACCAATACAAGGACAGTGAAAAAATTAATTAATCAAAAAAAAAAAATTGATATCCAAAGTAAAATATTTCAGATGTAAAAGAATATTGTGCCAAGTAAAAATTACAGCACCTGAAATGAAAGTCAAATTTTTTCTTAAGAGCTTCTCTTTGATAAAGATAAACTTGGCACTTCAAAGCAATGTGAGGCATGATCCCACAACTGACTACAAGTAAGTGTTTAATGGTCTTATCCACTTGGCCACTGGTGGGTCTTAAATTAATAAAAACTATTTTTTGAAAGTGTAGAGCATGTCACTTGAGGTATGCATAACATTTTGCTTTGAAATGGCCTTTATGAATTATTATTTTGACATCTAAATTTATCAGTGTCCATTTTCTAAGAAACTTCTTTAAATACTAATTAATTAAAAAGTATTTTTCTTACTTTGCATTTTACCAATAGTAAACTTCAAGGTCAGAATTGCTGGAGTCGAAATAATTTTACTGACTCCAACTCTACAACAGCAACATTTAAGGAAAATACATGCACATGCATACAGATCTGGCCCTTACTTATTAGTATTATTAATATCCATTGAGCAAACCATTTGATCTGTATGAAAGTATCGAGAAAGGATATACACCCATTTTCAGATACAAGCCCTAAGATATAATTATTGAAGCAATTCAAAGTTTCACATTAAACAGATGATGAGGATAAATGATTCAATATTTAAAAAATAATTACAAAGTCCTTGGTTTACACAGATTCATAAATAAGCTATTGGTGTACTTCAATTTTGAACTAATAATGAGTACATTCCAGTAGGTATCAAACAGCAAGTCAGCGAGCTGTGAAGTACTGGATTACAATTTTCACCAACAAGTTCATCGGTCACTGCACTGATTGTATCATTGGGTATGGATATGGTAAGCTCTGATGAAGCAACATGGCTGCCTCCATGGTTATATCATTAACACCATTTTACTTCTCATCTACATTAACCCAAAACTATTTTGACAAAATAAGTCTGCTAATGCCAATATAACACTATTTGCTTCTGTCATCTTGCAAACAAAGACAAGAGAATGTAGTACAATATGGTATAGTGCAGGTTCATTTCATGTATCTTGGTGGGCAAGAAGTCATCAGAGTACAAAAAAATT